GTTTATGTCATATCATGTTACCCTAATGAAGTAATGTCTGAATTAATTAGACATGTGCTATATGTCTGTCATAACCAATATATGTATGTGTGAATGACTCATACTGTACGTTTATGTCATATTATGTTACCCTAATGAAGTAATGTCTGAATTAATTAGACATGTGCTATATGTCTGTCATAACCAATATATGTATGTGTGAATGACTCATACTGTACGTTTATCATGTGCAGGTTCGCATGTTAGAATGAGATGTAGTATCGGGACGGTATCAATCTGCACAAGGGAAGAATCAATACATCGGGATATCACCTTTCCAATCTGTTAAATGTGATACACTAATAATGAAATGCATTACTCAACCAGACATTCATTTAGTCCACAAATAGGATATGAGTCAGATATTGGTTTCCCCGTAGCATCGCTGTCTTCGAGATTCCTGACTTCACATACACTTGACGCCATGCCATGTCTGGTTAACCCACCGATGAAGTTAATTAAATTGAATAACCGTGTTTCTAAAAGTTGAAGTTGTTTGATATTGATAGTAATAATATTAACTGAAAAAGCGTGTTCTGTAAAAACAGCTGTTGTATCTTTTAATGTTGTTTGATGTTTATTTCAGTATGTCAACTGGCATAATTCAACATACCGTTGATATGTATTTCAGATTGTCAGAGTTCAGACGCTGGCGACAAGGTGAATCCGAGACCTACAGAAAAAGTCAAGGACGCCAGTTCATTTGCTTCTATGTCCTGTGGTGAGGGATGGACCTCATAAGGTGGAACCATGAAAACTAGAACTCATAAAGAATCGGTATGAACCATGTTGGCCTTCCTGCTTCTGCAGATGAGTGTGTGCTTGTGTGATTCATACAACATATGGGATTATATTACACAAGTGTTATAACGCTTTATAATGAATTTGACCTTACATAGGGTCGAATACCACATGAGATAAGACACATGTGCTGTGTGTAGACTCTTTGTCTGATCCGTTTGCATGTGCTGTGGGACCTTCTGGGTGTGTGTTTTTGTGTCTGTACTTTGGGGCCTCTATCTGTCTGTTCTGCATGTCTGTTGTGTCTGTTTTTACCCCCACCCCCGATCCCTCGTTCACTCCTCTACCTCTCCTCGGTTTTGTCCCCCACTACTTTGTACTTTTTGATCCGCTACCACCCTGACATACCTCATCCCCGCTCTCGCTTGTTTCGCCCCTCGTCTGGCCGTTCAGATGCCCATGCGTAGTGGGCGGAGACGGGGGGGCAGTAGTGAGGACAGGAGGGGTAGACGCCCCCACCCCAGCCCCTCTCGTGCGGAGCGCAATGACAGGCAGACGGTGAGTGTGTTTTATGTTCTACCTAAGTATCTCTGTCATCTTATGTTCTGCTCAGTTTCAAATCATCTCATCTCCTTTCTTCTTATGGCTGTCTCGCCCCCGTCTCTGCCTTTGTACATTATAAAGTGTGTGTGTGTGTGTGTGTGTGGTGAGAGAGAGAACTGACACTGTCATGCATTAGGTATTGATCCTAATGAAGCTCTGTCTGTCTGTCTCTGTGTGTGTGTGTGTGTGTCTGTGTCTGTGTCTGTGTGTGTGTGTGTGTTCTGTTTGTAGGGTCATCCCTCTGGCAGGTTGTCTTTTGTCTTTCTAATTTAAAAATAATAATGCAAATGGAATATTCTGTTTCTTAGCAAAGAGCTGCTGGCGAGGAATTTGCTGTCAGTCGTTTGAATCGTCGATCGCAGGGCCATGATTCATCAGAGAGCGAAGGGGAGGAACTTGTCTCTCCACCGAAGAGGCAGAAAGTCCAGGTCGGTGTAACGTGACGTTTTACAACGTTTAAAACAGGTTGTCTGAACATTTGAATAACGTACATTGTCTCTTAATGTTTTTTCATATTCACCTCGCGTCACCAGGACTCCTCCACTGCCACCAATCCACCAACTGTAACTCATTCAGCTGACAGCAATCCTCCTGCTGCCCCGCCCCCACCCTCCGCTCCTAGCCAGTCACGTGACAGTGACAATGAGGACGGCCAATCCCAGGGCAGCAGGAGCTCAGTTGTGGGAAGCTTAGCCAATAGCCTGAGCAGTAGCCTGAGCAGTGGGCGGGACATTGACCAGGACAATCGGTCCTCCTCCCCGAGTCTCTCCGCGTCTCCTCCGGCAAGTCTAGACTCGGACTCCGATGGCCCCGACTCACCAAAGCCAGGAGAGGGGGAGCGGGAGAAAGGGAGGAAAGAGAGAGGTGCCGGGAAGACCGGGGGGGAGGAGAGAAGAGCAATCAGAGACGGGAGAGGGGGGGAGTCTTGCGGAGATGGAGAAAGGAGAGATGGAGATGGAGGAGTAGAGGACAGCCCTGCTCTGAAGCTGGCATCCTCCTCCAGCTCCGCCTCTGTCCCCACTCTCCGCGGACCAGGGGATTCAGCCATTGATAGCAAAGGAGGCAGGAAGTCCTATTTCTCCCTGGACTCCAAGCTGGCGAGCAAGATGGAGTATGGACTGCCCAGCTCTGACACCGCGCACAGTGGCAATCGAATGAACTCCAAAGCAAACACCCAGTGTATGCCCAAGCCCAGCGTTCTAGGGGGAGATTATCCCCACGGCAACCCTAACATTCTGCACCCTCCTCCACCACCCCTGCCCCCTCCGCCTGCCCTGAAACCCTTAGAACTGAGTGGGCAGAACCAGCCCTCAGACGTCAAGATAGAAAGGGAAAAGCTGGAGAAAGGTGAAAAACTGATAGACAACAAGACAGCTCCTCCCTCTCTCGTACCCCAGAACAGCCCCCTGCCTCTCCCCCAGCCCTCGCCTCACTCCCAGCACTACAGCCCCACTGGCTGGCAGGGAGGCACGGCAACTGGTTGTCAAGGGAGCTGGGGTTACAGTCGTTACCCCGGTAACCACCACACTCACCAGCCGCAGCACCAACCCCCAGTTCAGCAGCAGCAACTGCCCTCCGTCTACAACCCCCCCTCCTCCCGTCACTCGACCTCCTCCCACCCCCCTTACCTCCCTCACCCCCACCCCCACAGGGAGTACCTCCCCAGGTACACTGCTGGGGGAGGGGAAAGGGAGAGGGGGGCGGCGGGTGATAGGGAGAGGGACAGGGGGGGAGTGAGGGTGGAGTATGGGGGGAGGGAGATCGGTAGAGACTTCTCTGCTAGTAGCGGTGGTAACATCAGCACTTGTGGTGGCATGGGGGGTCCAAATGGGGTCCAGGGTAGAGAGTTTGGCGGTCAGAACCGGGAGTACACTGGCCTGGTACCTCCGGGCTCTGGAAGAGACCTCCCCATGGCAGCTGGGGTGTTCAGAGAACGAGAGAAAGAGAGAGAGAGGGAGGGAGAGAGGGATGTTGGAGGAAGAGATTTCCCTTTACAGAATCGTAACGAGAATCAGAACAGAGAGTTGGGACCCAGTGGTGCTGCGGGAGGTAGGGGACACCCTAGAGACAAAGAGGGAGGGCGATGGGGAGAGTTTGGGGGCCAGATAAGAGAGGTAGGGGGAGGTGGCAACCCTAATAATAACGCCCTCCCAGGAAACCCACCCAGCTCGACCAGTGGGCTACCTGCAGCCCCAACGTTAAACCGTGACCCCCCTTCCTCGCCCCAAAACAATCCCAGCCACCCGTCCCTACCTCCCCACCCACACCCTCAAAGCTCGTCCAATCGAGACTACCCCCCATCGATGGACCAGGCACCTCCCAGACACAGCCCGCCCAGTGGACCAGAACACTTCCACAGAGAGTACCCTCCCGGGGCCAAAGACTATCCTGCCGGTGGCACGCCTTCTACGGGCCCAGTCCGAGAGTACCCCAGCCCCCCCAGAATGACTCCGAACCTGGGGAGAGACTACCCCGGAGGTCCCCAGATTCCCCACCCGTCTCACCCCCACTATCCAGCCCAGCAGGCCAGAGACAGGGACACCAACCAGCGGGAGTCAACTCTCTACCAAACCCGCGGTGGTCTCCCCCAGCCCCCAGCCCTTTCTCCCTCCACTCCGTCCTCCACTCCACATGGACATGCTCCGAACGCACCGTACCCTCCTCCGCCACCTCCTCCGCCTCTCCCCCCTCCCCAAACATCACTAGCTCAGACCCAACACCCCACTAGCCTGGGACCCAATCATGCACGTCCGGCACAGTACACATCCTCCAATCAGACTTCTGCAACTCCCCTCTCTCCGTTACCCAGCCCCTCAACCAATCAGATGGCAGGGTTTCCCTCCTACCCACCAGGCTCCTCCTCCGGAGCCAACATGTCACTTCCTGGTTCAGGTGCGTCATCCACCTGTTCTCCTGGCTGTCGGCCCTCACCTTTTCATAGCACTTTGAACAGCCACGCCCCCTTCAGTGGCCCCTACCACTCTAATGGAAGCAACTTGGCTCAGGCTAACAGCAGCAGCAACTCCCACTCTCAGTCTCTTTCGCCCCAAAATGCCTCAAAGGGACCCGCACCCCTCAGTAACCCTGGCAACAGCAATGGCACTTCGGCCCCGGGCTGTAGCTCCTCACTTCCTGGAGATGGCCATTCTGAATCGTCAACAGGTACGCCTCTTCCACCTGTCATTAAGGAGGAACCAATAGAGGAGAGGGAAGAAAGTGAAAGCCCTCCCCCTGTGCTAAGAAGCCCCTCCCCTGAACCCAAGCCAGTGGACATTCCCATCCATGCCAGCCAATCAGCACGGTAAGATGGAAGTTCTTACAACTGATTGATGTGGATTTATTTTAGTGTTTTTTTCACTTGCACATATTATTAATAATAATAATGATTATTTGTAGCGGAGAAATCCATTTCTGTCACAGACAATTTTTCCCTAAAGCTTGCTATCAAGGACATCAACCCAGAAGAGCAATGTAATATCAGGTGTTAATAAAGTTCAAAGCAACGCATCACAGCTGTGTCACCTGTGCAACATGGGTTAAACAAGAAAACACCGCTCATATTATTTCAGTGTTAGAGTGCATGCCTCGTATGTATGATATCCTGGGCTCCTATTGGAGGAGTTGGTAGCTCAGTGGTAGAGAGAGCATGCCTCGTACGTATGATGTCCTGGGTTCAATCCTCAGCTTCTCCCCAGGTTGCTTTTGCAACTGAGAATTTGTCCTCAATCGACCAACCTGATTAAATAATAAAATAAAAAATGGTATGGCACATGCTTCTTACTTAACACTTGTTTTAGATGGAGTTCTTTAGTAATCCTCGTAGAAGAACCCATTATGGATTTTCGGTGAGCAGTTTGTGTTTCCAAGTAGAACTATTTTGGGTACCATGAAAAGTCCTCTGTGAAAAGGGAACCCAATATGTTTCTAACAACGAGGCTTCCCCCTATAGGAACACCCGAAGAACCCTTTGAGATTCTATAAAGCACATTTATGCACTCTAAGAGTTTAGGATTTACTGCAGTGAAACAAGGCTGTGGTAACAAGACATGAAATTGTGGTAACAGGACGTGGAATTGTGGTTACATGACAAGAAATCGTGGTTACATGACATGAAATGGGCAGGAGAAAAATAAGTACAATCAGAGAAAAGAAACATGCGTATTATTATCATATTGACTGATGTGTGGTTTCTGGTTCTAGGTTCCACAGGGTTCTAGACAGGGGCAGTGGTAACTCCTGTGCCCGCAGTGATGTCCTCTTCGTCCCCTTGGACGGCTCGAAACTGTGGAAGAAGAGAAATGAGGTGATCGAGAGAGCCCGGAGAGAGGTCGAGCAGAGGGCCCGAGACCTGAGGGAGAAGGAGAGGGAGAGGGAGAGAGAGAGAGAGAGGGAGAGAGAGCTGGAGAGACACCTACAAGTGAGTATGCTGAGACAGTGAACCGTGGTTTAATTCCACGTCCTTTTCCTGTATCTTTTAATGTCTCTTTTTCTCTTCCTGCAGCAGCAGAAGGACAGTAACAGCGTCAGCGGGCAACGGCAGGCCTCGTCGCTCTTCTTCCCCTCCTCCTCCGCCATCCTCATGGATCATAACTCCGCCTCCAACCCCGGGTCTCACCCCCAATCGCACCCTCAGCAGAGCCACCCTCACCCCCACGCTCACCTCCACCCCTCCCACCTTCACCCGTCCCTCTCCCAACACATCCCACACTCCCTGCTCATGTCGTCCATGGGCGGGTCCACGGTGGTCGGCCCCCAGGGAGCCCTGGGGATCGGGTTAGGGGGGCCGTACCTGGGCCCTGACACCCCGGCACTGCGGACCCTGAGCGAGTACGCCCGCCCCCATGCCATGTCACCCCTGGGGGCCAGTCGCCAACACCAGCACCCGCACGTGCACCACCACGGCCACCCGCACGCACACCCACACGTGCACCCGTCCTTCTTCCTCCCCCAGTTCCAGAATCACGCCCTGGCCCACCCACACCACATGCCCGCCGATGCGGCCACGGCGGCGGCCATCTTGGGTTTCCTATACGGCAGCAGCATGGAGGGTGGTCCGGGGGGGCACGGTGGAGGTCATGGGGGCATGGGGGGCGCCGGGTTAGGGGGGATGGGGTTCCCCCATGCAGTGGCGGCACACCGTGAGCGCATGAAGCCAGGGTTTGAGTTTAAGAGTGAGGACAGAGTGTATCAGCCGGGGCCCATGGGAGACCCCACGGCTCTCACCCTCGCCCACTCCCACTCGCATGCCCACGCACACGCCCACTCCCTACTGCTGGGTGGAGGAGGAGGAGTTGGAGGTGAGGTCTCCATTTACGGCACTCCCCCTCCCCAGGCTCCTCCCCCACCTCCCCTCCAGAACCCGGCGTTAGCGTCTGTGACTCGCCCACCGAACCCTCCCCCTGCCCCTCAGTCCCTCTCTAACCCACCGCCCTCCTCCCTGCTTCCCCCCTCGCTCCCGTGTCACCCCGCCCCTGCGCCAGCCCCTCCCCCACTGGCCCCGGCAGCCCCACCTCCTCCGGCTCCTCCTCCGCCCTCCTCCAACCTTGTTTCATCCCTCAGTCACCCCGCACCTCACTCCTCTTTTCCCAGCGCCCCGTCTCACCCCCCACCTGTCCCTGCCCCCATAACGGCAACTCCTGAGATCTACCCCCCTCCCACTCGCTCGCCCCAAACCTCTGAGAGAGACCGGAGTGGCGAGAGGGAGAGAGAGCGAGACCGAGTGGGGCTGCCAGCCAGTGGAGAGAGGGAACGAGACAGGGAGAGAGAGAGAGAAAGAGGGGGGAGCAATGGGAGTGGAGGAAGTAGTGGAAGTGGAGGAGGAGGTACAGGAGGAGAGATCCCGGGACGTCTGCAGATGTTGAACGTCACTCCTCATCATCACCAGCACTCACACATCCACTCCCACCTGCACCTGCACCAGCAAGACACAGGTACCCACTGCTGCTGACATTCATATGTACTGGAATATGTACTGGGATATGTCTGGAATATGTACTGGAATATGTCTGAAATGTGTCTGGAATATGTACTGGAATATGTCTGGAATATGTACTGGGATATGTCTGGAATATGTACTGGAATATGTACTGGAATATGTATTGGAATGTGTACTGAAATATGTCTGGAATATGTACTGGAATATGTATTGGAATGTGTACTGAAATATGTCTGGAATATGTACTGGAATATGTACTGGAATATGACTGGAATATGTACTGGGATATGTCTGGAATATGTACTGGAATATGTCTGGAATATGTACTGGAATATGTATTGGAATGTGTACTGGAATATGTCTGGAATATGTACTGGAATATGTATTGGAATGTGTACTGAAATATGTCTGGAATATGGTTGGAATATGTACTCGAATATGGCTGGAATATGTACTGGAATATGTCTGAAATATGTACTGGAATATGTACTGGAATATGTCTGGAATATGTACTGGAATATGTACTGGAATATGTACTGGAATGCGTACTGGAGAATGTACTGGAAAATGTTCTGGAAAGGTGCTGAAATAAGTACTGGAATATGTACTGGAATATGTACTGTAATGTGTACTGGAATATGTACTCGAAGGTGTACTGGAGAATGTACTGGAAAATGTTCTGGAAAGGTACTGGAATATGTACTGGAATATGACTGGAATATGTACTGAAATATGTTCTGGAAAGGTACTGGAATATGTAAAGGAATATTTATTGGAATATGTACTGGAATGTGTACTGGAATATGTACTGGAATATGACTGGAATATGTACTGGAATGTGTACTGGAGTATGTACTGGAATGTGTACTGGAATATGACTGGAATGTGTACTGGAATGTGTACTGGATAATGTACTGGAAAATGTTCTGGAATATATACTGGAAAATGTCTTTGAAAATGTACTGAAATATGACAGGAATATGTACTGGAATATGTAGTGTTATATGACTGGAATATATACTGGAATGTAAACTGGAATATGTACTGGAATATGACTGGACTATGTACTGGAATATGTTCTGGAAAGGTACTGGAATATGTACAGGAATATTTATTGGAATATGTACTGGAATATGACTGGAATATGTACTGGAATATGACTGGAATATGTACTGGAAAATTTTCTGGAATATGTCTTGGAAAATGTACTGAAATATGACAGGAATATGTACTGGAATATGTACTGGAATATGTACTGTTATATGACTGGAATATATACTGGAATGTAAACTGGAATATGTACTGGAATATGACTGGACTATGTACTGGAATATGTTCTGGAAAGGTACTGGAATATGTACAGGAATATTTATTGGAATATGTACTGGAATATGACTGGAATATGTACTGGAATATGTACTGGAATATGACTGGAATATGTACTGGAATATGACTGGAATATGACTTGAATATGTACTGGAATATGTACTGGAATATGTACTGGAATATGACTGGAATATGTACTGGAATATGACTGGAATATGTACTGGAATATGACTGGAATATGTACTGGAATATGTACACACCGTTAAGGTGTTTACCAATCCTCTCATCAGGGACCTGTTTCACCGGAACATGAATCAGGCGTTCTATAACTGGAATTGATCAAATATATGGACTGACTTATGGTCTCTAAGAGAGTGTTGGAAACCACTGTGCTACTATAGATGTCTCAGATGTTCTTGTGATTTTTATACTGTGACTCTTATTAAATATCCCTCTGTATTTCCTGTTACATCATTGGCCCCTAGCGGCGGGCGGGGTGCACCCCCTGATGGACCCGTTGGCGTCGGGGTCTCCCCTGGCTCGTCTTCCCTACCCAGGGGCAACGCTGGGCACCCCAATCCTGACGCACCCCCTCACTGAAAGCGAGGTGCTCCGGCAACAGCTCTTCGGTGAGGAAAACAGGAATCTGTCTGTCGGGGGCCATGTGAGGCCCGTCTTATAACATCGTCTTTGTCATCAATCTCCCTTCAATCCTTCTCTCTCCTGGCTCTCTCCCCGTTCAGGCGCTCCGTTCCGTGAGCTGCCCCAGCCTTCCTCTCTGACCGGTTCCATGTCAGCCGCCCACCAGCTCCAGGCCATGCAGCAGGCCCAGAGCGCAGAGCTGCAGATCCAGAGACTGGCCCTGGAACAGCAGTGGATACACCACCATCACCACCACTCTTTAACCCAGGATGAATACTACAGGTAGTGGATCCATCACTCTTTAATCCAGGATCAATACTACAAGTAGTGGATCCACCACTCTTTAATCCAGGATCAATACTACAGGTAGTGGATCCACCACTCTTTATTCCAGGATGAATACTACAGGTAGTGGATCCACCACTCTTTAATCCAGGATCAATACTACAGGTAGTGGATCCACCACTCTTTAATCCAGGATCAATACTACAGGTAGTGGATCCACCACTCTTTAATCCAGGATCAATACTACAGGTAGTGGATCCACCACCCTTTAATCCAGGATGAATACTACAGGTAGTGGATCCACCACTCTTTAATCCAGGATCAATACTACAGGTAGTGGATCCACCACTCTTTAATCCAGGATGAATACTACAGGTAGTGGATCCATCACCCTTTAATCCAGGATGAATACTACAGGTAGTGGATCCACCACTCTTTATTCCAGGATGAATACTACAGGTAGTGGATCCACCACTCTTTAATCCAGGATGAATACTACAGGTA